CCAAAATCTCTGTAAATGTTTATGAAAATTAATAAAATATAATTATAGAGAAAAAAAAAAAGAAAAGGTATTTCCACACTTACTCAGTTTATATTTACAGTCTACCTACTATGCAAAGGGCACTGTGCCAGATTCCATGAGGAACATGACAAAGACATGCACGTGAGAAAGACATGGTTTCCATCTCTCAAAGAATTCAAACAGTTACAGAAGGGATAAGGTATGTGGAACAACATAGCAACTTCTGGCCTTGTTGTTAGGTTCCACCAAGTCACCTGCAACTCACAGCAACCCTATGCACAGTATCTCTGAACCCTTTGCTATCTTGAGCTAATGTCTCTTCCTCACCTGCCCTCATTACCCCAGTTACTGCGTCAATCCATCTCATGCAGAGTCTTCCTCTCCTGTGCTGTCCCTCCACCCTTCCAAGCTTGATGTCTTCTCCAAGGACTGGTCCCTCCTGGTAACATACCCAAAGTATGTCTGACAGAGTTACAAAATCCTTGCCTAATGGAACTCTGTTTCACCCTCTTCAGAGAGCTCCCTGACAGCAGATTTTTCCCAGTGCAGTTCATCTTTTGCTGACTGTGGGTGCCAAGAGTGTTGACTATGTGTGGCAAGGTCTAGCCAGAGGAACCCTGGAGGTGGACTGACTTAGTATCATCAGCTTCACTAACCTGTTAAGAAATGTGTTATAGACAATGCTGCTGTTGTTGTTAGGTGTCGCTGAGTCAAGTCCAACTCATAGTGATCCTATGAACAAAAGATCTGAAACCTGTTTTATCCCGCACCATCCTCACATTTCCTGACACACAAGAGACCATTACAGCAGTCACCGTGTCAATCCATCTGGTTGAGGGTCTTCCTCTCCTTCGCTGACTCTCTACCCTTCCCAGCATCATGTCCTTCACCAAGGATTAGCCCCTCCTAGCAACATGCCCAAAGTATGTGAGGTGAAGGCTCATCATTCTTGCCTCTAAAGAACACTCTGGCTGCACCCTCTCCAAGACATATCTGTTTGTTCTCTTGGCCATCCAAACCACAGCTCAAAGGTGTGAATTCTTTTTCTGTCATCCTTATTCACTGTCCAGCTCTCAGATTCTTACCAAGTAATCAGAAAAACCATGGCCTGAATCAGACACACCTTAGTCCTCAAACTGACATCATTACTCCTCAATAATTTGTATGCAATTATGTAGTAGCATATAATAAACAAATGAAAGGGTTTTCAAGTATCATTTTAATGAACCTTAATAATATGATCTTTCCAGGCAGAATGTTTTAAGGAAAAGTGACCCATAGGCATTCAGTGTTAAAGCAGTAAATATTGTGGCAACTACATAAGATCTATAGTTGGAAGATTAGTTTGTAGTAAATTAATAAGGCAGTTGATCAATAGCATAGAAATTCATATATGAAGTTTTAGTCTCAGAAAATAACACATATGGGGGAGCTCTGGTGGCCTAGAGGCAAGAAGCTACACTGCAATCCCAGAGGTGCACAGTTTGAATCCACCAGATGCTCTGCCAGGGAAGAAGGGACAATCTCCTCCTGTACCAGTCAGATCTGATTTGACGGTACACGCACACACACAAATAATAAAAATAAATAAAAAAGACAATAACACGTGTAGAAAATAAGACTTTTAAGTTACTAAATTCCATTTATCCTTATTAGCACATTGCCGCACACTTTTAAATTGAGACCGTGTTTAGAAACACACTTTTTTTCCCTTCAATGTATTACCGTCATTTGTGGCAATGTGTTAGCAAGTGGGGAGCTAAATGTTTTCTTCAGATTTTAAGATTTTCTTTTCCTCTCCAACAACAGATAGAATTATATGACATCTAAATCAGTTTCTTTTGCAAGATTACACATTCTGATCTTCTACTCTACTTTTTTAATATGTTTCATGTTTTCTAAAATGCATACTGTATCAATTAGGATTCCGTCTGGCTATAATAAGAGTGGCTTACCTAAGAGGGGTTTCTTCCTTTACCACATAAAAGAAGGTCATAAAGAGATAGCTTCAACACTTTGTCTGCCTGCACTGCACCCGTCAGAGGTTTAGGATGACAGTCATACTTACAGGACCCAAAAAGCTTGGTTAGACACAATCTGGCACCAGGCTCACTTAACTTTGCAGGATACACAACATGAAACATAGCACGGTAGTTTAACAGGATCAGGCTTCTTTCCAGCTGGAGGAGTCTTCACTCTGGCGTCAGTTCCAGTCTCTCTGCGCATCAGGTCACCATGAGTCAGAGGGGGACGACTCACCAGCAGCTAGCGACACAAGTGTATGGTCATTTGTGACACCTGGAATCAAACTAGGGGTTCCAGTAGCATAGTGCACAATGTGTTGGGATGCTAAACAAGAGGTTGGTGGTTTTAAAAGGAGAAAAATGGGCAGCCTCCTCCTAAAAAGATTTACAGCCTCGGAAACCTGAGGAAGAATTAACAAATTGGTATCGACTTGACAACAGAGGGTTTGGTAATAAAATATATTTATCTAGTAAAACCTCTACATTTAAAGGACTCATTAGAGAAGACTCTCTATGATCATTTAAGCCAGTTTTTGGTTTGGTTTTTTTAAAATACAATTCATGTCTGGTCTTGGAATGAGTGGTTATACTGGTCTGCTATGATTGGAAACATAGATAGCAAACAAAAACAATAAAAGATCAACAACTGAATGTTACAATTATTTTATATAACACTATAAAAATTTATGATTAGATATTATGTGAAACACTTCATCTAGGAGTGGCTTCTAAAGCAGCTTCTTGGGTTTCCATAAAAACAAAATCTTCTGTATCAAAAGAAGGTATTTCAATAATAGGACCAGAATCTTCTATTTCCAAGTTCAGTTGTTTCTCCTGTTCATATCTGAGATCTGAATTATCATTCATTTGAATATCATGCTCCTTCAAATCCAAAGGTTTATCTGGGGCTGGAATTATAACTTCTTCATCATCTTGTAGGAAACTACAAATCAGGCTGGGTCTATTAGAGTAATCATTATCATTGATTTGCAGCCATTCGACACCACCTAATTAGGAAAGGGGGACAGAAGGACACACCAAGAAAAAACACGAAAAAGGAAGTTTAGTTAATTAAGTATATTTGTCTTTAAAATTGTATCCTAAAAATACTTATCAAAATAAAAGTCCAACATAAACCGAGAAGCATGGTGCCTGTAACTGCTGATAAAATAGTCACTTATCATTTTCAATGGAGACTGTGGGATACCTACAGGATTGTTGTTGTGTGCTGCTGAATAGGAACTGACCCAAAGCTGACCTCTAGAGAGTTTTCAGAGGTAGTAAATTGCACAGGAAGAGACTGCCCATCTTTCTTCCATGGAGCAGCTGGTGGATTAGAACCATGCACCTTTGTGTTGACAATGCAGTTTTTTTACCACTAAACCACCAGAGCTCCCTACTGATAAAATACTTATCATTTTCCATGGAGACTGTGGAAAGGTAGGCTTAATTAAAAAAAAAAGTAAAAACTTCAGTTACTATAGTTTTCCAGAGTTGAAATATCATCTCACTCAGAGAAATAATTTGAGCTCTCACTGCCTTCTCATATCTTAAGAGTAAAGAAGTTAATCAATTCCCCATATTTTCCTCACTTGTACTCAATTTTCCTAACACAGTGTATAACAATATTGTATCATCTCCAAGTCGGAATGCTCATGTCATCTTAAATTAGAACATCCACTTGTAAAATAAGATTATTTCTAAAAAAAAAAAACCAACCAAAAACCCAACTTTGAAAAAAATTTTTTTTCCCTATTCACTGTCTATATATTCTATCTTCACTGTCCAAAGACCAAACAAACCTGTGTTGGATGAGATACAGCTAGAATGATCCTTGGAGGCAAGGACAGAGACATCTTACATACAATGGGCCTGTTATCAGGAGGTGCCAATCCCTAGAGATAATCATGTTTGGTAAAGTAAAGAAGAAAAGAGAGGAAGACAGTGAGAGAGAAGACACAGTGCCTGCACCGATAGGTTCACACACAGCAGTGGTTGTGAGAACAGCAGAAGAATGGCTTCAAGTGTGTCAGAGACAAGGAGGACAGCACAGAACAGGGCAAGGTTCACAGGGTCACTGTGAGTCACACTCAACTCAATGGCACCTAAGAACAACAACAAAACTTAGGATTTTTCCACTCTCAACTACCTCCAGGATTCATTCTTGTGGTGGCAGGCTATTGAACTATGTTCTTCCAGGACCACTATTGCTACACCACAAATCAAGGTGTTCACTACAATTTCTCCACTGCTGATTTCATGTTGGTGTCAAAAGTGAGGATGATGCAATGGCTCCCAGATTCATGGAAATACAGTACTTTGAAAAGTAAGAAACTGGGGCTATGGGAAATACAGGTTTTTAAGACAGTTTTTCTGATACATCTGAGGACAGAAAAGTTGCTTTAGCAGTGGCCTAAGAAAAAAACTAGTCCATTAAAGGTGATTGATATGAATCCATTTTCCCCAGTTAAAAGCCCAAGGCAATCAATATACATATGAACAAGATCATTAAAAGGAGGTAAAGATAAAAGTGATATTTTTTGTTTGATTGCTTTTACATTTATTAAGAAAAATAACCCAGATTGAAAGACTGTTTCAAAATTACAAAGGTGCAAGTATTAAAAATTGTTTTCAGTTGTGTTATTTCTAAAAGACTGTACCCAGACCAGAAAGTTGTCTTTCCTTCTTAAAATATAACAAAACCACACTATTCAAACCACAAATTACAATTGGAATTTTCTCTGTCATTGGAAAATCAAGGAAAAATCATTTTGTGTACAAGTCAGAATTCATTAAGAAGTGTACACACATTTCAATAGAGAAGAAATTATACAAAAATGTTTAAAAAGGGAAAAGGAAAAAGAGGTTATGAAAGCTGAGGCAGAGAAAGGGTTACTCAATCAGTGAAGCAATCTTCCAGTCCCTCCATATCCATTTCCAGAGAAGAGTTTAATGAAGTCAAAGGAGAGGGTACATCCTTGGTTTTCTGGACAACAGGTTTTGTTTGAGGAGTTTCTAGTTGGAGAGACTCCTTTGTGATGCCTTTACCAACATTTTGAATCCTCTGGCTCTCAAAAAAAGATGTGATTAGGATGATTCAAAGAAAAGCCACAATCATCAACATTGTGTATCATCTTGAAATGTTTCTAACATGCTACCTGGTAATGTGTCTCCTTTACTAAAGCCCACATCTGGCTGTTCTTCTGAGATAGATCTAGTATGACTGTATCTTTTACTTCAGCAGCTCTGGATCAGTGTGACAGAATGGGCACCTGTGATAATCCCCTTGGTCTGACAGACTGGTAAGAATAATCTTCAAGCAACTGATAGATTTTCCTCTTGCCTTTTCTTCTAAAGCTATGACAGATCAGGAGAGTCGCCTTTAACATACATGTATGGATCCATCTTTCCTCTGATAAGTCTTGATTCCAAAATTGCAATGCCTGTTCCAATGTTAAGCTAGGGGCCATCACTCTACACATTCAGTCTTCATGATAAAGACAGTGGTTTTCATGCAAGGCTTTATGCAACTGATGCACACAGGGTAGGGAAGATTTAGTAGAAAGTTAATCAATTTGATCTAAAAAAAAATCTTCTCAGCATTTCTCTAAGTACTATAATCTTAACCACTGTAGTGTTTAAACAGCAGCTGAAGGATTTCATGAAATCAAACAGCAGGTAAGGAACTGGCCACTAATCCCAAAGCTCTGAATAGTTTTGCTCTTATTAATTCAAGATGATTGCTACAATGTCCTTACAAAGCCATTTTCCAGCCTTTCCTTCCTCAACACAAATCCAGCAAAAGGAATCTCGTAAACCATCTCCAAATGAGTTCCACTTAGTGTTCACTTGTTCTCGATGATTCTTTTCTTCAATCACTTAGAACTGCAAATAGTTATCTTTTTAAAAATCTTGAATCTTGTCCTTAGGTAAAATACTGAATCAAAATTGAAGGAGATCCATTTCTTGTTGTACGAACCAGCGTCAAGATTCTCAGACTGGTAATAAACAAGGCGTAAAATAAAGTGAGAAAGTAATCTTTTCTTCATGGTTCATATTCATCTTCCAAATTTTCCTGTAAGAATACTTTAGTTTTTGAAGCTCAAGCTCTAACTTACTCTAGTATTCATCAGAGGGTCAGATAAAAGAGGAAGATCCTCAACAAGGTGGACTGACACAGTGCCTGTATCAATGTATCAACATGGTGATCTTGATGGCATAGGACAGGGTACGGTGCTGATCTGTTTTTCACAGGGATACTATGAGTTGTGGTTCACTGGACGGCACATAACAACAAAAGGGAAGAGAAGATTTATCCTAATGAAATTAAGGTTTATGGAAAGTAGAACTTTGTAGCAGAGAGGGGAAATGCGTAGTTAAGTTGGAAATCTGAGCTCCACCCTGTACCTTAGGATTAAGTAATCTGTACTTGAATGGAACATCAACTTATACTGAGAGGATAGATTTACATTTACAAGAAAGATCTGAAGGGGGGAAAAATTATTGTGGCTTTTTAAAATTGGAGCTAGTTGGTTATCTTGGGCTGCAGAGAAGTCAGTGTCCAACTAGAGCCACCTTCCAGGTCTGGAAGCTAAAGGGAGCTGGCAAGTAGCCTGGGATGTCCACCTGAGTCTACTAGAAAACTCAGAGGAGGAGGATCAAGATAAGTGAGGAATGCAACAATAAAGAGGTCAACTTTGGACATGTTCCACTTGCACCTGTTGACCTAGCATCATATACAGAAACTGATGGTGCAAAAGAAAGGATACTGGTCTGACATGCAGGGAGTTGAGAGGAATAATGACTGGCTGACTCAGCCCATGTGAGGAGCTGTGGGTAAGAGCTAAGGAGCCAGCCCATCTGAAATGAAGTGTGTGGAACCCTAAGCTTGCAGCTGCTGCCCACTGCACCCAACTTCAGATGACTAGGGATGAGCTGACCATAACCTGACCTAATGAAGACAGGATGTTTTTGACATTGTGAGCTAGTGGAGTTTGCTGCAATGTGATAGCTCACTTGGGTATAGAATTTGCTGATAGATATAAATGCTCAAAAGTGTTAACCATAACAGATGATTCACTAATGCGGGGATTGGTCAGGGTTAAATTGACAATCTAGTCTGCCTTAAACTGAGCCAGTTGTGAGGCAGAAAATGAAAACCTCACTACCATTAAGAAAGCAGCACAGAATGCCACTAGTCCTTCAGATTCTTGCTCAAGATGAAGCAAGACTGAGATCAGCAGCAACAGCAGGACATTTAGGGTTTGCTGGTTATGAAGCAATAGATGACTACTACCCCTTGACTGGTGAGATGCTAATGTATTTGATCAAAGGAAGCCCTGTAACTTTTCAAATCTTTTTTTTTTTTTAAACTTTTCAAATCTTGATGAGGCTCTTAACTGACCTCAACAAAGACCAATGAGTCAGGATGACTCACAGCTGACCCTCCAGCAGGTTTTCAGAGGTTATAAATTGCACGGAAGGAGACTGTCCATCTTTTTACCAGGGTAGGATTATTAAAGACTACCAAAAAAGGAAATTGCAAAATGTCTACAATAAGTGTCAACATGGTAGCTAAGTTTAGCTGATACTTATTTGCTTTTTAAGTTCATTTAAGGAACGCCTTCATCCTGTTTTTTATAGGGTTCCAGAAACGAAGTTGTTTTAGAAAATGAGAGTAAAGGTTTGTAGTTTTGCCTAACTAAATCCTAGTTAGTTAAACTAATAAGGATTAATATGCATTCAAACGGTATCCTTTGTTTAAAGCAAATCTATCATCATGAATATTCACCACTAGAGTAATATTTACCAGAATTGCAAATATGTCATTTAACAACTTTAACATACTTAAACATATTTATAAAACATAAAAATAATGTTAATATTATATTTAATAATAACCAACTCATAGCTGACCCTCAAGTGTATTTTCTGAGGCTGTAAATCACATGAGAGGCGATTTCCTATCTTTCTCCTGCAGAGCAGCTGATAGTTTTGAACCACCTATCTTTGAGTTGGCAAAACACAACTGCTTACCCACTAGGCCACCAGAGGTCCCTAATACTTGTCCCAAACACAAAGCAAATACTGTAGATTCCATATATATTCCAAGTGCCCTCTGCCATATTTAAATTCAATGGAATTTTAAATTTTAAAAATATCAAATGCTTGGTATTTTTTACAGGGTATTCTTAACATATTAAACATACCAAAAATTATTGCTATAAAGAACAGAGGATGTCTGGCAGCAATGAGTCATTGTCAAAGCCAATATTAAATAGTTTATTTTCAGAAAATTAAGTAAACTAACCTATGTTTTCTTCTCCTTTCTTCTTTTCTGTCAGAAGAGTTCTTGTCATGCTGAGTTTCTTCATTGTATGGCATTTGTACTTTAGCACTGTTTTATTATTGCCTTCTGCATCTGCTAGAGCATAAAATGAATTAAATCAAGAATAGAAAAATTACAGGGAAAAAATATGTACAAACTGAAGGCACGACCAGACTTAAAAAAATAAGTCTGTGAATAAGAATATAGCCATGGGACCACTGGGCTCCAGCCTGGAAGTAGGGATTTAACCCAAATGGGTAAGAAATCTAAAATTTTACACTCAAAGTGAAGGACCACACTATTTCAATCCAAAGGCTAGAGTGAAGACCTACTTGCTTATGAAAGCAAGCTGGGGAGGAAAAAGACTTGTCCGCTCACTGCCCAAGATTATAGCTTTAGAGAAAAGTGAGGACTTAGGAGAAGGAGGCAATGAGCAAAAACTAGGAAATACTGAAGTCTCTACACTGCTGTGAGTGTAAATGGACATGGCACTTTAGAAAGCAACATGCTGATAGCGATCTGTCAGTTATGTGAAATCTTTAATACCGTGATGTGCCATCCATTTGGAACTGACTCACAGCTGACCCTCCAGTGGGTTTTCAGACGCTGTGAATTTCTCGGGAGAAGCTGGCCCTTTTTCTCCCTTAGAGCAAGCTAGTGGATTCAAATTGTGTGTCTTTGGAGTGGCAACCCAATGGTTGCCACCTGAGCCACCAGAACTCCCCAGTTTCTAACAGTCAATTGTAGTTTTTGTTGTTGTTGTTATATGCCCTTACGTTACTTGTGACTCATAGAGACCATATGTACAATAGCCCTGAAACCTGCTCTATCCTGTGCCAACTTTACTGTCTTGGACACACCCACCTCATTACCCCAGTCACTGTATCAATCGACCAAAAACGGTAATTTCATCTAGTTCAACCCAGTAGTAAAAATACTTAGCAATTCTATTTCTGAGTTTATACTTTAGAGATCTTTTATTAACACATATGCATAAGGTGACAAATGTAAGAATTTTCATGGCAGCATTATTTTTTCTTTTCTTTTTTTTTCCCCCCTAGGGCTAGAAGGATAAACTTTTTGTTGTTGCTTTTTCCCTAGGGCTTATTTTTTCTCTTTATGGTGGTACAAATCTAGCCACTAATTTGTCAACATTTGTAACACAAGGACAATGATTATACTTCTCAAGTTGAACCACTGTCCTCCCTATTACCACCTAAAACACACTACTGGCATTAGCATAGACTCAATATTCCCCTAAAGAAAAACTCCCCCTTGCCCATTCCTGTTAACCATATGACTGGCAAAGACATAATCTCTACCATGAAGTCTAGGCTAGACTCCTTTAAGGCTAACAGAAACTCTGTACCAGGCTGGACGCACCACCCCTTGAATCAAATTGCTAGTACCTAACGAGGACAATAATGGCTAATACTTAAAGCGTCTTTCATGTGCTTGTTGGCCATTTGTAAATCTGATCTGGTGAAATATCTATCTGGTCAAGTCATCTGCTCATTTTTAATTGGGTTGTCTTTCTATTGGTACAGTGCAGAAATTTTATATCTATATTGGATATAATGTCCTTATCTGATGTTTTCTTAAAACTAGTTCCCAACGTATAGGTTATCTTTTTATTTTGCTGATTAATGGAGGCATTTTTATAGTGAAGGAATAGTTATATTTAAGTATGTGGGCTCTTGCAAAACCAGGAGAGGACAAAATTGATGAATGACCTTCTAAAAATTTAGCTCCTATGTCCTTCAAAAACTTTTTCGAGGAGGATGAAAAGAAAACCTACAGATTGAGAAGAAACATTTGGCAATGATAACTCAGAAAAAGGTCTCATAATGATAGTTTATAGAATAATACAGAGTCTCTACAAGGAAAAGACTGAGAACTCAACCACAAAATGGATAAAAGACATAAAAAGACTTTACACAAAGGAAGACATTAGGATGGTGAACATATACAGGAAGAAATGCTAAAAATCACTGGCAATCACAAAAATGCTAATCAGAACCACAATGAAGTACTAACTCATCCTAGAGCAGTAGCACAGTTTAAAAGGACAACAAGCAGTAAATGTTGGACAAAATGTGGAGAGATTGCAGTGCTTATGCATTGCTGGTGAAACTGTAAAATGATACAACCACTCTGGAAAGCAGTCAATGGTGGCCTCAAAGTGCTGAACGTAGGAAAGGGGAGAGAGGAAAATGTGCAACAATGAATGAATGAATGAAACCAATCATTCTGTGAACCTTCATAAAAAAAATCACAATTAGGAGCTCTGGTGGCCTAGTGGCAAGAAGCTGCACTGCAATCCCAGGGGTATGGAGTTCGAATCCACCAGATGCTCTGATGAAGGAGGCACAATCTCCACCTGTAACCAGTCAGATCTGATTTGATGGTACAGACAGAGAAAATAATAAAATAAAATTTTTTTTAAAATCACAATTAAAAGTAAAAATTTACAAACAAATAAAAAAAAAAAAAGGTGAATGCAGAAATCTGTCAAGACAGCTATTCCACTGCTAGGAGTATACCCCAAGGAAAATAGAACTGAGATACAGAGATTTGTTTATGTATGTTCATAGCGGCATTATTCACCAAAGCAAGAAAATACAAACAGCCTAAGTGGCCATCAGCAAACAAATGGATGGAGAAATTAAAGTACATTCACATAATGGAATACTATGCAGCACTTAGGAACAATGATTTTGTAAAATACTGTAACATAGGGTCTAGAAAGATCATGCTGAGTGAACTATCTACTTTCATAGGGACAAATACTGCATAAGACCACTGTTGTAAAAACAGAAGGATTACTAGGAAGATGAGGATAAAAATCCAAAAAAGGGAAGGAGAAGGAAGGAAATCACTAGGATAAAAATATTTGATGGGGGCAGAAATGTGAAGGAATTAGGAAAGATCCAATGGGGACCTGAAAAGATGGGTGAGCTAGTAAGTAATAGTAGGCATAGCTAAATGGTGATTAATTTTATAAAACACAATGTATATGAGTGATCATCTAAAACACAATGGAATGTAGGAAATGTGTGAAATTCAATGTACAAGAATAATACATATACTGTATGATAAAGGAGTTTTGGTAGGATATTGTACAATTATGTGTTGGGATGCTAACTCAGAGTTTGACAGTTCAAATCCACCAGCTTCTCAGCAAAAGAAAAATGGGCCTTTTCCTGTTGGTAAGGGTTATCACGCTAACAACCTGACAGAGGGATACTATGAGTTGGAATTGACCTGAAAGCAGTCGACTTCTATTGTACATTAAGCAGACTTGGTTTTTAGTTAATTGGTATTAAAATCCATATGAAAGCCTAAAAAAAAAAAGAACGATACACAAAACACATGAATTTCACTGCAATCCAATATAAAATAAAAATAAAGTGAGGAAGAAGGAAAAAAAAGAATGTGAGCTCTGAGCTGGACTTCCTGGGTATGAATCTTGCCTCCACTATTTATTTCCTGTATAAGAATATTATTATTCTTAGGCATATTATTTAACCTCTTCAGTTTCTGAAGAAACCTGCTTCAATTTATTCAACTATAAAATGAAGATAATAAAGGCATGTATTCATAGGGTTGTGGCAGGATTAAATGAGTTAATAAATTGAGCATAGAGAACAGTGCCCAACATACTGAAGGCTTTTAACTTGGTATTTTATATAAATGTTGTCATCAATTTGAAACATTCATAGGGCTATAACTCACAAGGGAAGAGGATTCCTATTTTTCTCCTGCAGAGTCATTGGTGAATTTGAACCAAGAGAGTGGTATGGCCTTTGGCTTAGCAGTACAATTTCCTATGGACTATTTTTTTTATTAAATTTTATTCATTTTAATGAACATTTACAGAGATTTTGAGTTTCCATTCATTCTTTATTGCACTATTTTCTCTACCCTCCCTAGTTCATTCCTCTTTTTTTTCCACCTTGAAATTCTGTTTTAATTGTCGAATTGCCACAGTGCTTGTCAAAGCCAGTTCTGATCCTATGGACTATTATAGAGTATTAGTAGTTAATAATAACTGGCAAAAATTGAAATAACTATAAAATTCATTAGATGAATACATAATCTACAAATCATGTTATAGTAGTAAAATGGAAAGTTAAGCAGCAAAAAAAATAGGATATATACCAACAACTTAGTGGGAAAAAAGATACTAGATATTATATGTAATACTTCATTTCAATGTTTGAAAATAGACAAAACAATGCTACTTGAAGAGGGAACTTCTGGAGGGAGAAGAAAGGTTTTTTTTTAAAAAAAAATTCAAACAAAATGTGTATGAATTGCTTTGTAAACCTTCATCCAAATTATAATAAAACAACAAAAAAGATCAAACAAAAAATAATTCCACTTATGGTTTGTAACATGCATATATAAAAAATAAGGCATAGGAAAGATAGCCATCAAATTCAGTGATAAAGAATTGTGCTACCAAAGCAAGTATAAACAGTTTGAATCTGCCAACTGCTCCATGGAAGAAAGACCAGCAATCTTTGCCTGTACAATTTACTGCCTCTGAAAACACACTGGAAAGTCAGCTATAGGTAGGTTCTGACTTGCTGGTACATATAACAAAGACATGATGAAGAAACAAGTTGAAGAGAGGCATTAGGAGGGGTTCCAAATATATCTGGAATGTTCTACAAGTATAAACTGAGACAAGATTAGCTTTGAGACAGCCAGCTAAGAGTACACAATAACAACAACAGCAAAGAGGTTTCTGTTTACTAAATTTCATAATAATAAAGTCGGGTTAATAGAACAACCACTTACCACATTCTTCGACATCTTCTTCAAATATAACACATGTTCCAAGAGCATCTGCAGAAAAATTTGAAGACAATTTCTGAGAAATAACACAACTAATTCTCTGAAAAGTACATTTAAAAAAATATTTCATGGTGCAACCATTGTGGAAGGCGGTGTGGCGCTTTCTCAAAAAATTGCAAATAAAGATATCATTTGACCCAGCAATCCCATTACTGGGAATATACCCCAGAGAGACCATGCCTGCCATCCAAGCAGATATATGCACACCCATGTTTATTGCAGCTTTGTTTACAATAGCAAAGAGCTGGAAGCAGCCTAAAGGCCCATCAACAAACGAATGGATAGAGAAGCTGTGGTATATCCACACAATGGAATACTACACAGCATTGAAAAACAAGGAACTCATGCAATATTATTCAAAGTGGGTGACCCTGGATGACATTATGCTGAGTGAAATATCTCAGTCACAAAGGGACAAATACTGCATGGTGCCACTGTTGTAGAATGGGTCTGACATCAGGGTGGGGGTATGACAGAAAAAAACTGGATAAATTATGTATATTGAAACAGATGAGGGAAAGAACAGATTAGAAGTGATATATGATTGAGTATTATGGTTAGCACAGGAATCCAGAATTAAGGTTGCATAGAGAAGTGTACTAGAGGTGGGGGGTGGGGGGAAGGGACGTGGGAATTGTATACTAATGAAGGAATTTTTTTTCTTTTTTTTTCTCTCTTCGGAGGGGGAAGCGAGCTGGTGGGGAGGGGTGGGAAGGGAGAAAATTGCGGCAATGAATGAATGGAAATCCAAAACCTCTGTTAAACAAAAATTTAAAAAATTATAAAAAAAATATTTCATCTCTTAGCATGATCCTACCTTCATACTCCCCAGCAAATACATAGTTGTCCACTTGCATAACAGGCTTCTCAGTGTCGATTCCCTACAACAGAATATAGAAGAATACATTATCTTTAGAAATAGCCAACAACATGTACCTTGTGTCAAGGAGATTGTGTTTTAAAACCAAGGAATCTCTAGTTTATTTCTCAGCACGCACAAGATAAGCCAAACTGCTCTGTTCACAGCTGCTGCTGAGGATCACTTAATTCATAATCTATTTTTCAATCAACATTTTCTTCAAGTTGAAGATTAGAGTTAGTTTTGGGGGTTTTTTTGGGGGGGGTCTTTGTGTGTGTGTGTGTGTGTGTGTGTATGGGTATTGTCAAATCGGATCTGACTGGTACAGGAGGAGACTGTCTCTCCTTCAACAGAGCATCTGGTGGATTCAAACTGCTCACCTCTGGCATTGCAGTGCAGCTTCTTGCCACTAGGCCACCAGAACGTGCCTAGAGTTAGTTTTGTAAAACTTCTGCCAGTAATGGATCAAAGAATTTTAAAATTATTAAACTGATGGCAATTTTTTATGAGCATCAACATCAGGCCTTTTAAGTCTTGGGCATCTGCCCTCCTCATCCAGTTTTAACCTTTGTGTGCACAACTGATTTCCCTCCCTTGGCTTTTTGTCTCTTACTCTAGTACATTTAAAGCAAAATCAAATAATTTTCCACCCCACGCTTTCAAATATAGCACACCTGGTGCATGTCAGGACGCTACCTCTTCCAATTTTATTTCTAACTAGTCACATATTCAAACACAAAGCCAGAACTGGACATTGTCCTATGTGATGCCACAGTCCCTCCCTGACATACACTTGCAGTGAGAAGTAAATACATTAGTCTTTGGGGAATAGACATTCTACTATTTGATTCCGCTACGTAGCTGTATATGTATATTTAATTCCCAGTAATCACAATTCTAGAAGACTTACCAAAACCTTGCATTTATTTTCACATTTTGAGAGAAAGTCTGAATCAATAATCCCTGACAATTCCACCAGAACCAATTGCTCCTGGGGGAAGAAAAAGGGGTTAGCACATTAGCACGAAGGTGTGTACAAAGAAGCAACATGAGAAGTCAAAAATCGCCCCTGCAATTACCAAACCGTTGTGAAATCGAGGCCTTGCTTTAAAGGAGAGGGAGCAAGGAACGTTTTCTTATGATTAATTCCTTTTAACTCCCATTCGAACAGTTTGCAGTTAAGACCAGACCCCCTACGGCCCCACACCCACAGGGACCTCCCTGCCCCAAACACAGATGGGAGAGCCATCAGCGGGACCGGCGACCTAGCTTTCGACCCAGCACTTACCTCTTCCTCATCCCATTCTTCACATGTGGATTCCTCGGCCTCCGCCATGATTTCTCCTCCACAGTCTTTCCCGGTCCCTTAGCCACGCCCTCACAGCGCCGCCATCTTGACTACGGGCAATAGCTCTCCGCTATTGCTCCCTCCTCTTCTTGTCTGCAAACGTCTCTTGCCAGAATGTGAGATGGCGACCTCCCGCGAGACGCATCGGAGCAGGGTGGCCCGCCCTCCAGGGCCCCGCCCTCCAGGGCCCCGCCCACTTAGAGACCCGCCCAAAGCCCCTGGTAGCCTAGCCAGCGAACGTGTGAGTTAGCCTGGAGGCTTAGGGAGTCTAAGGCGCTTGGCTCTACTTACGGTGTGTGTCTATGAGAGGAGGGAATTAAGAAAACGCTAGAATGGAAACCTCTGTACCTGAGTGTACATTCTTGAAAATTCTTAGTGTTTGTGAGCATCACACTGCAACATCCTCCGGACCATTTTAAGGCCACATTTCAATTTATCTTGTAATGAGCGCCTACTTGTAACGTCTGAAGCATATAAACCCTACCTGTGGCGGTAGTTAAAGCACTTTGCTTCTAAACTAGATTCTGTATTTAAACCTACCACCAGCATCTCAGGAGCAAGATTTATAGCCTTGAGGGACTATTAAACTATTCTCCTCTGTCTTATATTCCTCCACGTAAAGTCTAGTCTTTGGAATGATCCGTTCTGCATATGGATTGAAAAGGTATGGACATATTCCTGACGCACCCATTTCCTGATTTTGATGTTTCCCTGCTCTGTTATGACTACGGCTTCCTGGTCCAAGTTTTGCATGAGTACAATCAAGTGTTCTGGGATTCCCATTCTTCTCAAGGTTCGCCACAATTTGTTGTGATCCAGAGTCAAATGACTTTGTACAGTAAATGAAACAGACATTCCTCTGGTACTCTTTGCTTTTGGCCAAGACCCAGCTGAAATTGGCTATGATGTTTATTGTGCCACAACCACTTCTTTTTTTTCTTTTCTTTTTCCACAACCACTTCTAAACCCAACTTATGTTTCTGGTAGTTATCTGCTGATGTACTGTTACAGGTGGTTTTAGATAAACTTCAGCAGGATTATGCTTGTATGTGATATAAGTGATACTCTTTGATAATTTCTACACTGTCAGATCACTTTTTTTAAAAAAATGGGAATAAATATGGATCTCTTCCAGTCAGTTGGCCAGGTTGTTGTCCTCCAGATTTCCTGGCACAACTTGGTGACGATGTCCAAGGATGTGTCTGTCTGTTGAAATACGCCAATTGGTATTGTATCAATTCCTGGAACTGTGTGTTTTGCCATTTCTTCAAAACAGTTTGAATGTCCTTCTTCACATTGCCTTTTGATTATTGTTGTTTCATAAAATCCTTCCTGATGTCTTCTTCCCTCAGCTTTGGCTTTTCAATGCTCTAGTGCAATATCCAGTCTCTTCTGACATCCATCTTAGTCTTTTCTTCCTCCTCTGTCTTTATAATAATGACCTTTTACATTCTTCCTGGATAATATTCTTGATATCTTCCCAGAGCTCATCTGGTATTCATTCAGTAGTGTTCAAGGCCTCAAACTTTTCCCTGTGATGGTTTTTAAATTCAAGTGGGATAGACTCAAGGTCAAATTTCAGTTCTTTGATTCTTTATGAGGAGGAATGTGGCATCAGGATTGGAGGAAGACTCATCCACAACTTATGTTATGCAGTTGACACAACCGTGCTTGCTGAAATTGAGGAGAACTTGAAGCATTTGCTGCAGAATGTCAAGGACAGTCTTCAATATAAACTGACATTAAAATCAAGAAAACAAAAGATTCTTACCACTGGGCCAACTGGCAGCACCATGATAGATGGAAAAGAGATTAAGATTGTTAACAATTTCAGATTGCTCTGTTTAACAATCAACACTCTTGGCACCAACAGTTAGGAAATAAAAAAGATTAATTACATTACAAAAATCTACTATCGGGGATCTCTCCAGAGTACTGAAGAGCAATGATGTCAGTCCAGAGACTGAGGTGCACTTGCTCCAGGCCATGGTCTTCCCAGGGTGTTATTTTCAAAATTTTTTTATTATTATTTTTTATGTGTGTACCGTCAAATCGGATCCAACTGGTACAGGAGGCGATTTTTCCTCCTTCTTCAGCAGAGCATCTGGTGGATTTGAACCGCACACCTCTGGGATTGCAGTGCAGCTTCTTGCCACTAGCCCACCAGAGCTCACCACAGTTTTTTCCTGTGCATCAGAGAGCTGGACAATGGCTAAAGGTGACAGAAAAAGAATCAATGTCTTTAAGTTGTGGTGCTGGAGAAGAGTATTGAACATACTATGGACTGCCAAGAGAACAAACAGATCTGTCCTACAGAGAGTGAAACCCAATTGGTCCCTTGGAGGAAAGAGTTTTAAAGCTTTGTTTCTCATACTTTGGGCATGTTGCCAGGAGGGACCAGACCTTGGAGAAACATGCTTGGAAGAGTGGAGGGACAACACAGGAGAGGAAGACCTTTAATGAAATGGATTGACACAATAACAGGGATAATGAGGGTAAGTGTGTCGGAAACAGAGAGATTGGCTCAGAATAGGGCAGGGTTCAGAGCTATTGAGTATAGGGTTGCTGAGTCAAGGACACATAACAACTCTGCCCTCTAGAGTCTTTTTGGGTCTAGCACACAATAGAGTTAATCTTACAGAAGCAGATAATTTGTGTATTTTTTTCCTTCATAATGTGCATGTGTTCTAACCCATCAACTTTTCTGTTAGAAGTCTAGTGCAGCTTGTGTCACATAAGATCTTTTGTTATGTGCCCTTGAGTTCTAACCAATTCATATTGTTGTTGTGTACCACTGAGTTGGAACTGACCCCTAGCTGACCCTCCAGCGACTTTTCAGAGAAATTTAATCACATGGGAGGAGACTGCCCATCCTTCTTCCATGGGGCATCTGGTGAATCCGAACCATGTGCCTTCAATATTGCAGTGCAGTTTCTTGCCAGCTCATAGCTGGTATTAAATTGCATTTTCTAGGCTGTAAATTACACAGGAAAATATTGCCCATTTTTCTCCCGTGGAGCAGCTAGTAGATTCAAACTGCCTGCCTTTGGGGAGCAGTGTAACCCATCACACGCTAGGCCACTAGAACTCCCTACATAGGATCTATGAGGGATATAAATGCACTAAAACAATTACACTCTACTCAAAAAGTAATACTCAAAGTAATACTATGGAAATACAGAGATTTAGAAAAGAGATATTTTAAACATAATTTTTAATAATAGCCTCGTAGATCTTTCTGTTTATAAAATAAATTTTCTCTGTATTTGAGAGCATGAGCTTTCAAATGGTAAAGAGCATGATAAAGATCATGAGCGTTATAGTCTAAGCCCTGTCCAGTCCTAAAGCTTTACTTACATTGACCTGATTATTGTGCAGATGAAATGAGATTATACAGATAGATTATTTGTATGCATATAAAGGATTTTAACCTTCAATTCTGTGCATATTAAGTATTTTATGTGCTTGTGATCTAGTTGTTGTTGTTCGTTGCCTTGGAATCAGTTCTGACTCATAGTAAACCCATGCACAATAGAAGAAAACATAGCCCAAACATAGCCAAGTCCTGTGTCGTTCTCACAATTATTGATATGTGTGAGTCCAGTGTTGCAGCTATTGTGTCAATGGAGGATTTCCTTCTTTTTATCTGACCCTCAACCAAGCATGATACCCTTCACTAGAGATTAGTCTTTTCTGATGACTTGTGCAAAGTTAGAAAAACAAATCCTCTCTTTTATCTAAAGAGTTTTGTAGCTGTCCTTCCTGTAAGATCTGGTCATTCTTCTGGCAGCCAAGGAGTATTTAATCTGATAGTGAGCTCTGGTGGCCTAGTGGCAGGAACCTACGATGCAATCTTGAAGGCATGCAGTGAGGCCACCAGCCACTCTGCTGGAGAAGGATGGGCAGTCTCCTCCCGTGTGATTAACTGCCTCTGAAAACCCACCGGAGGGTCAGCTATGGGTCAGTTTCGACTCGATGGTACACAACAACTAAAACAAAAGTAATATACAATATTTTAGAGTTGTTGTTGTTGTTGTTGTTGTATACTGTCAAGTCAAGTATAGCGGACCCTTCAGTGGATTTCCAGAGACTGTAAATCACGTGGGAGAAGATTGCCATCTTTCTTCCATAGAGCAACAGGAGAATTCTAACCACATGCCTTCAGGATTGCAATGCAGTTTTTTACCACTAGGTCACCAGAGCTCCCATTTTATTTTCAAGTAGTAGGCCATGGTCTTTGCAATTACTTGCTATGCATTAGAGAGCTGCACAGTGACTAAGGATGACAGAAGAATAATCAATGCCTTTGATTTGTGGTGCTGGAAAAGAGTCTTGAACATACCATGGACTGCCAAAGAAACAAATAAGTCTGTCTTGGGGAGGGTGAAACCAAGTTTCTTCTTGGAAGCAAGGATTTTGAAGCCCTGTCTTACATACTTTGGGCATGTGGGCAAAGAGGACTGGTCCTTGGAGAAGAACATCATGCTTGGAAGTGTGGAAGGACAGCACAGGAGAGCAAAATCCTACATGAGGTGGATTAAAACAGCAACTGAGTTTATGGGGGTAGGTGTGTCAGAGTCAGTGAGACTGACTCAGGATAGGACAGGCTTCAGAGCTGTTATACTTAGGGTCACTATGTGTCCCAGGCAACTTGACAGCACATAACAACAAGCCTTCTTATGTTACTTTATCCAGTATCAATCTGAATTCAGCAATGTCTCCAGTGCCAGGGCCTCTTCTAAATCCTGCTTTCTTTAACTTCTGGCAGTTCCCTATGTATGTATTGTTCTAGCCATTTTTGTGTGATCTTCAGCAGCATTTTGTTTGCATGTGATATCAATGATATTGTTTGGTAGTTTTCACATTCTGTTGGATCACCTTTCTTGGGAATGGGAAGAAATATGGACCTCTTCCAATCAACTGACCAGATACCTGTCTTCCAAATTTTCTGGCATAGACTGGTGAGCACATCCAGGGCTACATCTGGT